GGGCGATCTTCTAGGTAAGCTGTCTCCTGCACCAGCTGGGCGTTCATCACCAGATCCGGGGCATCTGGCACAGAGGAAACAGAGCGGGTGGCCTCTACACTGCCACCCCCTACTCTGTGCAGATCTGGGTCCCACCAGGAGGATGGGCATCTCTGGGTACTCACGGGTGGTGCAAGTGACCCCTGCTGAAAAGCGTCCCCCACCACTGGGGCAGTGCACGGGGCCATGGCGCTGGCACTGCTGCAGGGCCAGCTCTGTGCCCGTGCAGCGCACTCCACTCATCAGCACCTGTGAGGCATCGGGGCTGCCTGCCCAGTACCAGGTCTCCTGGCAGAGGGAGACACAATGCTCAGATCAGCCCTCATCTGCCCCGCGAGCTCCCAGCACCACTACCAGGGCTTGAACCCATGTGCCACTAGGCTGTCTTGTATGCCAACACATCCCGGCACACTCACGATGCTCACCTGTAGGGCATGGCTGGCAAAGCCCAGCCCCAGCTGCCTGCAGACCACCATGGCTTCGTTGAGCCCCCACTGAGCTCCACACACTGCGCCCCACTGCAGCCTGCCCTGCACTGGCACCAGCACCTCCACAACACCCTCCTCAGGGCTGCGGCCCCCGGCCAGGCGCACCTGTGTGCAGAGAGGGGCTGCTAGGACAGGGCTGCTGTGGGTCAGGAAGCCCTGTGCATCCTTCGTGCCACACGACCACTTTCAGCGTGTCCTACAGACCCGCATCAGTGTGGCTTGAGTTGCTCTACTTGTCCCCATCTCCTTAGGCTGCTCCAAGCATCCATAACAGGAAGGGGGCTAACGGCTCTACATGGAGAGACTGTGCAATGGGTCTCTGTGTGGAGGGCTGTACAGTGGGGTGGGGGCTCACCTGGCTCTGGAAGTCCATGTGGGGCACATGGCAACGGACGGCCGCGTCGTCATCATGCCGGCACCCACTCTGCTCACCGTCCTGGAAGCGGCACTCAGCCAAGGAGCGCTCGTGGCCGATGCAGCGCACCTCACTCATGTGGATGGGCCCCAGGCCTGGAGCAGAGGGAGCACTCCTGCCTCTGTGCCCAATCTGGATCCCCCTGCACACCCCCCAGACTGGGGGACAGAAGCAGCTGGGGGAGGGGATCCTTGCCCTTCATCCACCTCACCTTGACCCATCTGTGCTCCCAGCAGCGCCTGCCTGGCTGTGCCATAGCCCAGCTGCCGACACACCACGCTGGCTGCTGCCAGGTCCCAGCGTCGGCCGCACACAGTGCCCCACTGCCCGTGGCGCAGCACCTCTACCCGGCCCTCACCAGCGTGGGTACCAGCTCGCAGGCGCACAGGAAGACCCTGGAAGGAGGAGCAAGCATTCAGTGGGTGCTGCCTGGCCCTGGGTGCTTGCCTTGGGGTTGGGGCACAGGACCGTGCCAGGGCTCACCTTTCCCAGGGAGGCTTTGCGGGGAGGTTTCTTGCCCCTGTTCTTGTCCTGCTGGAAGGCAGGGCCGGGCACGCAGCTGACGATGGCATGCATGCCACGGGGACAGGCATGCTGGCTGAGGGCTGGGGGAGCCAGCTGTGTGGGGCAGCGTGACAGGTGAGATTCTGTGCCCCGGCACTGCACACGGTGCACCCAGAAACTGCTCTTCTGGCTCAGGTTCCTCAGGCTGCCAGAGGAGAGCAGCGGGAAGAAGTATAAGATTTTTCTGGGAGAGGGCTCCTGTGCTGGTGCTCCCTGCCCAGGGCTGAGCCCTACCTGGAGTTGGGGTCCTTCAGCTTCATGTTCCAGAGCTTCCTGCAAGGAGCAGAGCCAGGAGGTTTGGGGGCTCAGCACAGCTGCGCCCCTATCCCTGCCTTCCCTGGCACTCCACTGCATGGTGGGGTTCTCTCCTGAGTGACAATCTTGTGCCAAATTCTGCTATACTGTGTGCCCAGGCAGGATTACAGGACGCCTGGCACCGGCAGGGGCTCATTATGGGCTGTATTTATAGCTCAGCATAAGGCTCGGCTCTCCTATGTCTGCACCCATGCTGCACAAGGCAAAGCAGGGGAGCATCCCACAGCCCCTGACTGCTGCTGAGCCCAAGCTGAAGCCCCGAGGAAGGGGACACAGGCATGGCCACGTGCCCTATGCCCCCTGCTACAACTCCACCCCTTCACTGGCAGCCTCTCTCCACCATACCTCAAGTCCCCATAGCACATCCATCCATCCATCCCTACCGGTAGAAGCTGGTGTTGACGTGCTTCTCATGGGGGAAGCCCAGCGTCCCACACACTACGCGGCTGTTATTCTGGGTCCAGCCGGCATCGCACACCTGTCTCCAGCGCCCGTTGTGCTTCACCTCCACCGCTCCCTCTGTCACTGGCAGGCTCAGCTTAGCCCGCGCCAGGATGGGTTTGATCCGCACCTCTTCCAGGCTCAGCCCTGGCCCCTGTGAGGTGGCCACAGTGGGTAATGAGACCCACCCTAGACCCCCAGTCATCTCTATGGATGCACAGCTCCTACTCACCTCTCCCAGGGCAGCAGGGGCTGATGTCAAAGGGAGGTCGCCATGCAGGCGCTGCCCTGAGCATACCACACCAGCATCCTCACCATGGTGGCAGTCACTCGTGCCCCAACCGTTGTGGGCACAGTCGGCCAGGGAGACCTCATTGCCCCCACACTGCACATTGTCTAACCAGATGGGACCTGGGGGTATGGAGAACTAGGGGTCACTATGAAGGCATCACCCTAGACCCAGTGCCCCCATGCTGGCCCCTCCCACAGTACCCCATGCAGGTTTCCCCCAACAGCCGCTGTCCATCCAGCCCCCCACCCATCCCAGCTGCCCCCTACCTTCCCCCTGGCCGTAAGTAGCACTGTGGGTCCAGGTGATGGCTGCGGTGTAGCCCAGCTGCCGGCAGGCGACGGTGGCCACGTGGAAGTCGAAGCCATCATCACACACGGTGCCCCAGCGGCCTTGATACAGCACCTCCAGGCGGCCCTCCCCAGCTGGTCCCCGAGGCCCTGCCAGCCGCAGCTGCACCTTGAGTGGCTCCTGTGTGCTGGGAGCCACCTGGCACAGCACCAGCACCAGTGGGAGTAGGATAGGTTTCAGAACGGCCAGCATCACCATCGCAGCTCTGAGGTGGGATACCTGGGGACAGTCCAACACTGAGCCCCTATGGAACACAGTGTGGAGGTGCAGCCCTCCTGTGCCTCACAGCATGGTAATGATGGAGCAGCGTCATGCCTCCTTGTACAGCAGTAACATCCCTGTCCCTCCCCTGTACACAGCTTGCAGTGACCCCTCCCTGAGGCTCAGCCCCACATCCACATGCTGTGCACAGCTCCTACCCCACACTCAGTGCCCTTATTGCTTCATCCCTATGCTCTTGGTTGCGGGTGGGGATCCCACAGAACCCCCTTGTTCCCCACTTGAAACCCATCGCCTCTCCCTTCTGCATGCAGCCCCCATCTCCAGCCTTCTCCCCCTGCATCCGTATTGGCAGCACTGGGAGCTGCTTCTGTTTCCTTCTCCCTCCACCCCCGAGATCCCTCAGCCCCCAGCACTCACTCTGGCTGCCGGTGAGGGGACACGGTGTTGGCTCCAGCCGCCCTCCAGCAGCTCTCCTGCAGCCGAGCACCGCCTGCTGCTGCTTTTATGGTGCGGCTGCCCCGGGTGGGGGCCCGCGCAGCCCAGCCCAGCCCCGGCTCCCCCCCCCCTCCGCGCACACGAGGCTCAGAGCCCAGCCCTGCACCCTGCCCAGCCAGAGCCTTGTTCTGAGGCAAAGCAGCTTTTGGGGGGTCAGAGCATGGGATGCTGAGCCTGCTGCCCCCTGCCCAGGGAATGAAACCAGGACCCTAGGATGGGACTGTCCCCCCACCCAGCATTCACGGCACCATGGGGCTGGCCCCCAGCCAGGCGGAACATGAGGCTGCTGCATACATCGTCCCAAAAGGACCCCCTCTCACGTGGGGTGCTGCAATGGTGCCAGGACTTGGGGTGCACAGAGAGCAGGGGAGGGGGTGTGGGGGTCCCCAGGTGCTGCCGCCCCCATTAGACGTGCAGACAGGGGATGCCCCTCACCCCCCGCAAACGTGCGCTGGGAGCAACTATGGGATGAGGCCAACAGCGGTCCCCGGAGCAACCCGGCGTGGGATGGGGATAAACAGGAAGCGCCCGTGCCCTGGTGGTGGCCACCGGCCGGCCAGGAATGTGCCAGTGGCCACCGGGCTGTTTGTTTGGAGTGAAAGCAGCCGGTTCCTGCCGGGAGGAGCCAGGAACAACACGGCCGGGAATAGCCCGTGAGCTCATCGCCACGTCCCGACAGAGCCAGCAGCACCCCGGCACCCACACCCCCACACACGGCACCGTCCCATCAGCTCTCCCCCGGCTGCGGCCATGCCCTGACGCTTGGTGTGAACGCGGCACACCGGGGCGTCCCCCCTTTTGTCACCCCCGGGTTACAGCAGGCACCAACACCTGCAGCCGGTGACTGCAGCGGATAAAAATAGGGCTGTGCAGCAGGGCAGCCCCGTGCGCGGGAAGCTGTGGGCAGCGGGGCGGGCGTGCGGGGCTATTCTCAGAGGAGTGCGGGACTATTCCTGGCCGGTCAATATTGATTCAGGCGGTTCAGGTGCAGCAGCACAGCCCGGAAACACCATATTTAGGGCCCGGCAGGAGGAGAGGCCTGGAGCTGAATCGGGAGCATTGTCCCCAGGAGGAAGAGGGCAGGGAGAGGATGTGAGCTCTGTCATTGCTGCGCGTGGCTCTCAGCAGCAGCACAGGGCGGGATGCTGGGAGCGCGGCGCACCCCAGCAAGGGGCTGGCTGTCCCCATTCACCACTCTGTGACACGTCTGTGCCTGACACAAGCAGAAGCAGTGTGGGCGGCCCTGTGCAGCCCATGCTGGGGGGCATAGGATGTGCTCTGCACTCAGGCCCCAGGATATCACAGCCCAAAGTGCACAGGGAGCTGCACAAAGAACCAAAAAACCGCAGAGAGAGCTATAAATGCAAAGTCCACGGCTGGGTTTATTTCTGTGGATGTCACAGGATGACACCTCTTGGGACTCCGCACCAGCTTGTACTGCCCTGTTCACAGGGGATGCTACCTTGTATGCTTGGCTTGCAGCATGGATGGGAAGGAGGGGCCACTGGAAACAACTGCAGCCACATGCCTGTGCAGGTGAAGTCAGTTCCACCGCTGCCACCGCAGGCGCCTGAAGTGCCTGAGGACCACCTGGGCTGCATTGCGTCCTGCTGCGCCCATCACACCTCCTCCTGAAAGGCAGCAGGAATGGGGCTGCACCACATGTCTGTGCCTGACACGTAGCCCTATGTAGCCCTATCTTCCCCCTGCAGCCCCATTCTCAGCCTTGCTTACCAGGGTGGGCTCCACTCCCACACAGGTATAAGCCTGGGACTGGGGACTGGTAGGCTGAGTAGGATGGTGCTGGCCGGGTGAAGTAGAGCTGGTCCAGAGACATCCCTCCGTGAAAGATGTTCTGCAAAGAGAGCCCATGTATGCGCAGTGTCTCTTCCCCACAGGAACGATGCTCAGAGCCCAACCCACTGGCACCCACCCCTCCAGGCAGCCCGAAGATCCTCTCCAGGTCAGGTGGTGTCAGGATGTCCCTGCCGATGACAGATGCCTTGAAGCCTGGGGCATAGGCTTCAATGCAGTCGAACACTATGGAGGAATGGAGGCATTGGTGGCTCTTCCCATAGGCAGGGACTGGTGCTCCAGGCGTTATCCTGCTCCATGTGTGCTTTACACACCTGTGTCTGCATAAGCATTCCGAGCCTTCTCATCCCAGGGCTGCCCATCTGCCAGCTCATATGGGGTGTACTGGGTGAAGAGGGACACAACGTGGCAGCCTGGAGGGGCCAGCCCTGGGTCCAGCACTGAAGGAATGCACAGCTCAATCATGGGCCTGGGGGAGTGAGAAACAGCCACAAAATATCCCCTAGCACCACCAGGGCAGTGGGCAGGGAGCAAGGTGGGCACCTCCTACCTGCTGGAGGGGTGCCCTTGGGCAGCCTCGGTGTAAGCCTGGTGCAGGAGGTGTGTGCCCTCGCAGTTGAGGTGGATGGAGCAGCAGTGGTGGGGCAGAGGTTGGTTGTCATGGGTGTTGGGGGCAGCCAGGAAGCTAGGGAGCCGGTCTACCGCCACTTGGATGGAGACCATGGGGTGCATAAGTGCTTCAAGCATGCCTGACAAAGGATGGTGAGGGTGGCTCCTTGTCCTTACCATTGATTTTGGTGACAGGGGAACGTGTGTCAAGCTGCTGGATCCGCTGCACAAAGTCCTCTGGCAGCTGCTCCTGGGATGGAGAGGGCACTGCGGTGATGGGGTGACCCAGCTGGGATGTGACCCTATGCCAAGTACTATGGTAGCCCCATACCTGCGGGGTGAGCTCCAGGAAGGTGAGCTGGGGGGAGGCGTTGGACAACACCACTTTACTCCTCACCTCCGTCCCGTCCTGCATCACGACGCCCCGTGCCTGCCCATCAGTTCCCAGCAGCACACGGCACACCGCCTGGGCGGAAGTGAGGTCACATCACTCAGTTAATCCCCACAGCCAGCAGCAGACATCCCACAGCACTCACCAAGACCAGAAACCCCATACCTGCTCTGTAAAGATGTGAGCACCATGGGTGGCTGCTGCGGAGGCGATGGCTTGGGACAGGGCCCCCATGCCCCCAGCCACGTAGCCCCAGGCACCACGCTGCCCCTCCAACTCACCCATGACGTGGTGCAGCAGCACATACCTGTGGTTAGCCAAGGGGATGAGGTCTGTCCCCTGTGTGTGCCCCCATGGCAAGGATGCCTTTATGAGAGCTCCAGTGGCCAGCACACAGAGTCACAAGACCCAGGGAAGGGATGGGACCCTCACCCGCTGCCAGGGGTGTGGGGGCTGCTCATGGCCCCAATCACTGCATCTGTTGCCAGAGTGGCCTTCAAAGGTTCTGACTCAAACCAATGATCCAGGATCTGGTTCAGAAGACAAGGAGAAGCTCAGGGGTGGACTGTGCCTCGATCCCCCTGAGCATGCAGGGAAGTGCCACTGCTGCTAGCACATACCTTGGAGATCGGGGCTGTCAGTACCTCGTAAAAGTGGGGCAGGTGCCGCCCCAGTGCCAGCCCTGTCAGAAAAGGCAGCTCCAGGACCTGCACAGCTGCACCAGAAGGTGGCCACCAGTGCCTGGGGCTGGGCCAGCCACCATCAATATGGGGGTCCCCATGTCTCCACATACCTGTCTGCAGCAGGGGCCACAGGGCATGGAGCCTCTGCAGCAGGGAGCCCTGCCCTAGGGCAGTTGTATCTGCAGGGGGGACATCCAGCAGCGGGCTGATGGCAGACACCAAGCACCCCATAAACACCTCATACTTAGGGTAAGCCTAAGCAGGGACAGAGAGTGGTCAGGAGGAGATATTCCACCATGCGCATCCCTACTGCTCTGCTGGGCAGGGGGGCTCCTAGGCCAGGCACTGTCCCCGTACCTGAGCATCCTTCTGGGAAAACTGGGCGATCTGCTGCTGGGTCTGGGCCATGTCATGCCCCATCAGCAGGGAACGGGGTGGGTTCCTGTCCTCCAGCAGCGGGGTGAAGGAGTACGGGTCCCGCGGCAGCACCCTCAGGCCATGCCGCTGCAAGACATGGGGTCAGGATGGAAACTGCAGGGATGGCAATGCAGCAGGCTTGCCCTGCCAGCATGCCAGGAGGGCAGCAGTACCTGCAGCTCCAGCTCTGCATAGATCTGCGGGCGCAGCAGGCTGAGTAGGTAGGAAGCCCGGGAAAACTTAAAGCCTGGAGAACATGGGGTGGTGAGGCATGCACAGGGTAGGTAGTGGCAGGAGGATGTGGTGCACGTGGGGTACCTGGCACGATCTCCTCGGTGACAGCCGCGCCGCCCAGCACGTGGCGTTTCTCCAACACGGCTGTGCGCAGCCCTGCCCGCTGCAGGTAGGCAGCCTGTGGGGAGCATGCGTCACACTGCGGGTGGCACGCATCCCTTTCCTGCACATGGTGACCCCATCCCCTCACCAGGGAAGTCCCTGCTTCCCAAACCTCTGTAGGACCCCCAGTCCCAGTGCTTCCTGTAGACCCTCCTCCCAATGCCGCCCCCGGGGATGAAGGTGAGGGCTCTGTTATTGGTACTCACTGCCACCAGCCCGTTGTGCCCTGCAAGGAGAGAGGGGGGTGAGCCAGGGTGGCCCCATGGCATTCTGCCCCACACAGATGCAGAGCACCCAAATAGCGAGACTCTGGGCATGAAAATGCAGGCATCAGCAAGCTTCTTCTCCATCCCTACATTCCCAGGCCCCACACACATCTCAGCTCTGCTCAGACCCCCGTGCCAGCAGCACACCAGGGAGCTGCAACACATGCCCATCCATGCCAGACCCACATACAGCTAGGGGCTGCCCCACACGCACTAGTTCCTGGCCTTGTGTTACCTGCCCCGATCACCACCGCATCATATTCTCTCTGCAGCTTTTCTCTGGTCCTGCTATGAGCCAGGCGTTGTCCCCATTGTCCATGGACAGCACAGCCTGCACCCAGGCCTGCACGGAGCCTGGCCAACATTTCTGTGCTGTGCTGGTAGCTCCTGGACTTTGCTTTCACAGCCGTGCCTCTCACTGGATTTCCAAGCACGGGGTAGGGACAGGGGCCCAGGGCAGGGGACACCTTGGCACAGGGGCTGGACAATGCATCTCAGGGCTTGTGGGAAGTCTGGGCAGGAGACGGTGCCTGCAGCTGAAACTCAGCCAAGCTTTGCTTGGTAGATGTGTAATGAATGGGGAGGGTGGGCACAGTCCCACGTCAGATTCTGCCTGATGCCTGCAGCCCAGGGAGTGTGCACGGATCCACAGCAACTGGCTGGGTGGGTGGCCACTGAGTACTGCAGTGAAGGGGACTGCAGCCCCTCCATAGCAGCTGGGAAACAGACAGCCTAGGATTGGGCTTGGCTCTGGCCCCAGAGCTTAGCTCAGTGGGACAAATTCCTGCCCAGCAGCACAGGGCAAAGGCCCTGCCATGGTCCAGTGCTCCCCAAGCCCTAGCTGTGAGAGACAGGCGGAACCCCTGGAGCAGAGAGAGCTCAGAGTGCTTGCACATGCACCAACAGCAGATGTGCCTGGAGGACGCATGAACTTCCTCAGCTGCACCACGTGCTGGCACTCAGCTCAGCACCAACATGCCCAGCAGCTGCACATGGGCAGGGGGTGCACAGGATGCACCCCACCTTCCCAGGCTTGAGGACCTCAAAGCTGCAGCCCTGTGTTTAGGGGTGCAGATAGGGGACACGAGGTGTAGTTTGCAGTGCAGATTGGCTATGATGTTTTGTTCTCTGGCCAAAGCCAGGCGGCGAGGCCAAGCCAACACTATAAATCCAGCTTTGGAAATGCACTTTTCAACAACCCTGTGATTTGCCAAAAAGCTCTCAGCCCCACTCCCAGCCTGTCCCAGGAGGCTGCTGGGTGCTCGCCAAGAGGGAGAGGGGGAGAGCCGGGCAGTGCAAGCCCTGACCCGGTTGCATGACGGCGAGGCTGCACGTGGCTGCCTCCCGGCACAGCCCAGCTCACGCGCACCCCCCTGAAGAAGCAGCACGAGGAACACCCACACCCGCTTTAATCCCAGTCCCAGCTCAGAGCAGGGGGATGCGGGAGGGTTCCCAGAGGCGCTGGGCCAAGTTGCAGGCCTGCTGGACCACCAGCTCGGATGGGATTATGCCCAGATGCACAGTGAGCAGCTCGTAGCACTTCACCACTTCTGTCTGCTGGTTCTTGCTGTAGTAACGCAGCAGCTTCCTAGGAAGGAAAGGCAGGGATACTCTGCAGGGTATGGCGCTGGCTGTGCCCCTTTGGAACCAAATTCCCCTAGTAGGCTTCTGGCAAGGACATCCATCCCTGCTGGCCCATGATCACAGCACCAGGCTGAGGACACAGGCTGTGCTGCCCAGATGGCACTGTAGCACTGGTGCCACTCTGCTGCCCTTGGTTTCCCCAAGCACACCAATGCACATGGGATGCATGCACATGGATTCAGCACGTTCCCTGTTATTGCTGCCCAATGACAGGCCTGAGGACTGCTCACCTGTAGTAGTCCCCTGCCAGCATCCCGATGGGCACAGAGTCATCAGAGAGAACCGGCACCTCCATCACCTCCAGCTTATAGCCCTGGGGATGGATGACAGCAGAGGGCAGGGTTGTACCAGGGAAGAGAGGGACAAGGAGCCCCGTGGTGTGGGCAGAGGGGCTCAGCCCACTTACCAGCTCATTCTCAAACCAGAGGAAATAGGAGCAGCAGTAGTCACCATCCTGCAGCATGAGGGTCGTGTAGCCCTTCTGCAGGTACCGCCGGGCCAGTGCAATCAGGGACCACACCTAGGGGAAGGAAGGCAATCCACGCCTGGACACAAACCTCCATCCACTGCCCCTCCCGTGATCTGAGCACAGCCCTCAGCACCTGGAACCATAGCAGCCTGGTGTCAGGCCCAGGCACTGCAGGACCACTACCTTGCTCCTGACAAATTCGGCGAGGGGCCCCTTGCCCAGCTCTGAGCTGGACTTCTCTGTCACACTGAGCGACGGTGCCATCATCTGTCCAGCCGTGCGGTCGACATAGATGAAGTGCACCAGGCCAGGAAAGTCCTCCAGGTATGTGGGGCTGGTTAAGGGTGTCCAACCACTTTGGTAGCCCGTGGAAACCTCCCTCTCTCCCTCTCACCCCATCCTGGCCACAGGGACGGATATGACACCATGGTGATATTGCGCCTGCTCTTCACCAGCAGGAAGTCTCGCCAGTCCAGCAGCTTCTCCCTGCGAGCAGAGGTGCAGTGAGCAGCTATGAGGACCCCTCGCTGCAGGCAGTCTCTGCACCCCTCAGCCTCACCTCATCAGTTTCTGGGCTCGGTCCCGCAGGCCCTGGGACAGGCTGTGGCTGGTGGGGATGAGGAAGAGCTGGCGATATACAGAGCAGAGCTGTCGCTTCACAGTGCCCAGCACATGCAGCAGCCTAAGTGGGAGGGGTCCAGCTTTGGGGTCTGCATTCAGGCAGACCAAGGATCCCATATTCCCCAGCTGCCCTCATACTTACTCCAGGTTGCTCCCAGCCTCGTTCCGGGAGAATATCTTGTTCTTGAATTCCACCCAGGCATTCTGCAACTAGAGATTGGGCTCAGTTCAACTACAAAGACAGCAGGATGAGGTCCACACATTCCCACACTCACCTGCATGTCCTGTCCACTCAGCTTCTTCACAAACTTATCCATGCGCTGCCGCAGCTCAGCCAGGAAGGGGTGGGCACGGGGGGCTCCCACCTCCTGCCCCTCTTCCAGCTTCTTCTCCAGTACCAGGAACCCATCCAGCAGTTGGTGCAAGGTGACGGCCACGTGGCTCGTGGGGCCCTGCCATGGAGTGGAGATGCAGGTCAGGTAAGAGCTAGCCCAACCCTGCTCCCCTCACTTTACAGCTCACCTTGGTCAGCAGAACGAGGGAGATGCCAGGCCACAGAGGGAGGCAGTGCATGGTGTGTGGCAGTAACAGGCAGCTGCCGTCCCGCAGGTTGGCCTCCAGGAAGATCCTTCTGGGGTTCGAAGCTTCTGGGAGCAGAGGGCCCAATGTCTGGAGCAGGTCCTCTGCCATCTGGGCAGAGAGGAGAAATGTTCAGCCCCTGCATCATCTGAGGGACGTGGTGATGGAACCAACATCCTGAAAGCTGCAAGTACCCCGCAAGAGCAGCAGACAGAAGGGAGGCTGCCTGCAGCCAGCAAACACCTTTTGCAGAGGCCAGCAAATGCTTGCAGAGTAGTGCAGGGAAGAAAGCAGCCCAGAAACCCTGAGGCAGCAGAGGGAGACACCAGACTGCTTTGAGAGAGCCTCAACCCCGTGCCACTGACATTGATGGGGATGCTGCAAGCAGTAACCCAGAGCTGACACACTGTCACGCACAACACAGGGGATGTGCCACATGCCTCCACAGGCTGGGACACTCGTAGCCATAGCACAGCAAGGGAGATATAGTGAGGACCAGAGATAACAAAGAGCACCAGGACAGGCTGGGAAGGCATGGATACAGGTGGAATCATGTCGTCCATGCTTACCTGGACATCTGCAGCATCTGCATCTCCATCACCCACCAGCTCAAGGCTCTCCGACCAGCTCTCACTGCCTGCAAGAAGGCAGCAGCTCCACTCTCCCTGCCAGTCCCCCATGCAGCTCCAAACCTCCTTGGGGCAGGGGAGCCCAAGGCACTGACCAACCTGGCACTCACCTGTGCTCTGTCTGCCTGGCGAGGGCTCAGGTGTGTAGTAGACTTCAGGTGCAGAAAGATCATCAGTGTCCTGCCAGCAGGAAGGGCTGGCTCAGCTGTGCTGTGACTGCAGGGCAGCACCACCAGCATCCCAAGCTGCAGCTCCCAGCTTTGCAGCCCCTGGGGCTGCCACCCACTCTCACCTGATCATCTGACTCCTTCTCTGTAGCCCCGTGGGAGCTGGGGTTGCTCACAGGGATACTCTCACTTCTCTTGGGTCCTTGTGGTAACACCTTCCCTGCTGCGGGCTTCCAAGAGGAAAGATGGAAAATCAAAGCCTGACCCGCAAGATATTACACCCTCCAGGGACACCCCAGCCCACTTCCCCCACACCTGTGGGCCAAGCTCCTCCTCGGCACTCTGGCTGGGATACAGGTCTTGCACCAGGAGGATGAGGGTGAGCAGGTCAGCAGGGCGGATGGAGCTGGCATTGCGGCTGTGGGATGGAGAGCAAAGGGGTCAAGCAGGAGGGCCAGCAGCTGTTCCGGGAGAGTGCTGGAGCCAGGACCAGGCGCACCTGGAGTAGAAGGCCAGCAGCTTGGTGTGTACCAGGAGGAAGGCATGTCCCACCTCATCCCCGCCACGCTCAGGGCTGGCATTGATGTGCTGCACCACCTGCCTCTCCAGGAACTCGATGCACTGCTCACACAGCTGAGGATGGATCAGCCGCTCCACCGCCTGCGGGGTGGGTTGGGATGAGGCCGCCGAGCCAGGCAGATGCAACCGCACAGCGCCAGGGCAGGGCTGGGCTGCTCCTTGCATCACAACCTGGGGGCTGCCCAAAGATCCCCACCAAGAGCCCTTCTCCAGGATGCAGCATCACCCACTGCCAGCCTGTAGGAAGCCCTGGGATGTGCTCAGCAGGTCCCAAGAAACATTACCTCCACGGCAAAGCTCTGGTCCTCCTCCCGCAGGCGGATGTATGTCTCCAGCAGCCCCCTCAACAGGCTCCAGCTGCGCTCCCGCCGCTCTGAATCAGCTGGCCGCAGTCTGCAATGGCCACAGAGCGTGAGCCAGGCGTGAGATGCCCCAGATGGATGGGCATTCCAAATCACCACGGCACCCCAGCAAAGGGAAAGGAGAAGGGAGTCTCACTGCCGGGGGCACCAACTACAGGATATGCTCCCATCCTCCCATCTCGGCAGCTCCCCCAGCCCTTGCCGGTTGGTGCTCCCCTGCTCACTCCTTGCGGATGAGGTGGGCATCGAGGGCGACGAGGCCGCAGTGAGCCTCCACCAGGCGCCGCAGCACGAAGAGCGTCCTGCGCAAGTCGTCCTCGCTCTCCGTCCCGTCGCCGTTCACCGCGATGTACAAGCAATCCCCGAACTGCAAGCGGCAGCGGGATCAGGGCATAAGCCTCGATCGCCCCCCCCTGGCTCTCCCGGCCCGGCCCTACCATGTGCAGGACGTGGAGGTGCCGCCCGCCTTCAGCCCTGAAGCAGGTGTAGGTGTCCGACAGCTTCTCCAGCAGCGCGGTGCAGGAGATGATGAGGGGCGCGAACAGCGTGTTGAGGCTGTCCTCCAGCGCCGGGCCCTGCGGCACGCACCCGAGTCAGCGTCTCCGAACCCCGTGAGCCGACCGCCCGCCCGCCCGGGGCCGCCCCGTCTCGTCTCACCCCACCTGCGCGGCGGTGGCGGCGGGCGGCCGCAGCCGGCGGAGGAAGGCGGCATCGGCCCAGTAGAAGAGCAGCTCGGCCGCGGTGCTGGCGATCAGCACGCACCGCATAGCCCTGCCCAGCCCCGGGACCACGCGACTCCGCCCGCCCCGCGCCGCTTCCTGCTCCGCCGCGCGTGACTGCCGCGCCCACGCGCGCAGCGCCTCCGGTGGCCCGGCGCGGCTTTGCAGCGCGCACCCGGCCGCGGGGTGCTCCGCTCCGGTTCCTCTCTCGCCCCGCTCCGGTGCCGCCCCGCGGCGAACAGAAGAGGCGGGCGCGGTGGGCAGCGCAGCTTTATTATGCCTCGCGTTCCGTCGCGGTGCGTCCCGGCTGCTCCAGCCCGCACCCTCCGCTCCCGCAGCCTGAGCCGCCTCCGCCTCGCACGGCGAGGAGCTCCCCGTCACCGCGGGCCTCATTAACTTAATTACCAACATTTACAGCCGAGGCCCCGCCCGCGCGGCTCCCCCCGTCCCACGGCGTCCGGGCAGCGCTCGCAGCGGCAGCAGAGGGAGCTGCTTCCATGCTCGCTGCGAGCTCCCCGCACGCGGGGCGGGCCCGGCCCCGACCCTCCCGGTGGAGCCCCGCAGCCCTGCCGTCAGTGCGCGGGGCGGAGCGGGCACGGGTGGGGGCAGAGGGTGCCGAGCTGGAGGGCGTCCGGGCTTTGGGGAGGAGGTGCGATGCGGTGCCCGCGCCGTGCTGCCGAGGAGCGGCGCGTCCCGGGGAGCGAGCGGTGGGTCCGTTGCGGGCCGCGGGCTATCGGTAGCGGCAGGCCAACGCGTTCACGTTCTTCACCACGTAGAAGCTCATGGTCAGCGGGGGGATGACCAGCGTGCGGCCGGCCCGCAGCGGCCGGGGCTTTAGCTCGGGGAGGGTCCCGTCGTCCACCATGGCCAGAGGCTGTCCGTTGAGCTGCACCGACCTGCGAGAGCGGAACAGGGTCAGGGCGCGGCGCCAAAGACGGGGTGGTCCCCAGCGAGAGCCCCGCGCTTACTTGGAGTGCAGCCCATCTTTGCCGTAGGGCTGCAGCAGGTACTGGTGGACGATCTTATCCCGCAGCGTCCCCGCCAGCTTGATTTTCTTCCGGGAGCGATGCAGGTTGATGATGTACAAAGTGATGGAACCCCGCACGTAATTGTGGCTGCAAAGGGGAGAGCGGGGGCTGAGGGGTGTGTTGGCATCTGAGAGCATCACCCCTGGAAAAGGGTCTGGGGTGAGTGTGCAGCCATCTGGGTTGGACATCATCCTCCGCAGGGAGATGTCACTTCCCCATCGTGACAGCTTCCCAATTTCCCCTGCTCTCCTCGACCAGGAGTGTCACTGCTCGAGGGGGTCACTGCAGCTGGGGGCAGCCCCCCCAGGACCTTGCAAGGAGGAGGCTGAGAACTGAGGGAGCTCGCTATGCGAGTGGCGTCTGCCCCCGCCACTCGGGGCACCCAACTGACAGCTCCAGACACTGATCCTCTGTCCCTGCTTAATCAGACAACCCCAAACAAAGGCTATAAAGCACTTTGCACCTGTCAGTTACTGGACAAGGTTTCCTACCGAGCTGGAGGCATGTTGAAAGCATCTGGACTGTGTAAAGAAACAGCCTCTCCTCCTCCACAATAGCAACTTGTGTCTGCAGAGGAGGTGGCTGCCTCCCCCCCACCCCCCACTGCTTGCTGGGGCGCTTTGAAAGACCTTATCAGTAAAACAATGAGCAGGCTGGGCTCCTGGGCAGGTAACCTGACCGACCGGGGGCCCCTCGTGAAATCCACCCCCTTGATCTTTGCTGCAGGGCTGTCCTGCCGCAGTCCCCGTTCCCAGGCGGGTGCTGCCCCACAGCCCCCAGCTTCCCTCGCTGTGCATGGCTCACTTGTGGGAGCTGGTGCAGTGGGCGTAAATGCGGAGCTTGTCACGGATCACCCTGCCCGGCCGGGGCTTCCTTTGCAGACCGGCCACGTGGATGGCCAGCACCTTGGGTCCGATGAGCCGCTTGTACAGTAGGGACAGCCAATAGTCCTGCAGGGCAGAGAGGACAGTCAGCAGCACCAGTCCAGGAGAGTCTGGGCTGCCTGTGTGAGAATATTCCATGCCAGGTGTCTGCCTTGGGGTGAGCTTTTATTTTTTGGCACAGATCAAGCCAAAATGGTGTAGCTGTTTCCAGGAAAGAGATTAAGGAAGGAGTACATTGCTTTGCACGCTAAGAGACACCGATATCCTCTAAAGGAGCTCAGGCCATGCAGCTTGGTGGAAAGCAGCACGGATGCTATCTCACATCTCATGGACCTACACACAGCCACGCTGCAAAGCCACGCACAGCCCACATGGAACAATGACACCTTCCACCCCATTGCTGTGCAAGGCTGGAACCCCTCGATCTATCCCATGCTCCCCACTCTGCTGATGGCAAATTGGCTCTGGAGAGAGCCTGGGGTGCTTCACTCCCCAGAGGTATTTCTCCTCCAAAAGCCGCCTTTGGAGCTAAGCACCCATGACCATAGCGCAGGGAAGCCAAGTATTCAAGAAATAGGAAATGCTCAGCCCCTGTGCACATGCATTAATGATGCAGCCTTTTAATTACGTCACCACATACTATATTTTCCCACAGGGCACGGCCTCGCTTAGCACACAGGATGGGCCCCAGGCCCCGGGGAGGGAAGCAAGGCTGTGCACTGCTGGCAGCCACCGTCTGCAGGGCCCCCCCTCATCCGCTGCAGAAGCTGGGAGGTGTGCAGTAAATGAAGCAGGGTTGTAGGAAGGGAGGGGGCATGCTCAGAGGGCCGCTTTGCAGGACGGGGCTCTGTCCTTGTTGCCGCAGCAGCTACCAGCCAAGAGGAACACCCATCTGGTTGGTGCCAGCAGTGCCACTCAGCCTGCCACAGGGACATCCAAACCTGCTTCCCACTGGCTGGGTCATCTTTGGCCAGAGGGCTGGGGGAAAACCTCCTGCCCTCCTCTAGCTGCTTTTGGCCCAGCCTGAAGATGGCCTGTTAGCTCCCTGTTAGATAGCTCTTCCTTGCAGCACTGTGGAGTTTCTTGCTTTCTGTGCACTTTTCCATCAGCAAGATGCTGGTTTTGCTGGCAAATTATGGGAGTGATAGATGCTAGAGGACTCAAAGGGAGTCCTTGGGGACTTGGTGGCCACCCTTCGTGTTCCATGTGCTCTTGGTGCTCCCCTAAAAGCTGTGGCTTAGCAGATCCGTCAGTGCTACCAACTACCTTAGCAGAGATGCTCAGAGCAGTGTGGGGACCAATGTGTCCCTTCAGCATCTGCAGGAGGAGAAGAAGCTCAGTGATTTTACCCTTCTTGGCAGGCAGGGTGAGCTCTGAAGCCTTTCTTTCAAGAAGGATGTGGAAGCACCAAAGAGAGTTCAAAGCTGGGCCAGAAAAATGACCCAGGGGCTGGAAAAGGAGCCTTTTGCTGCAGCCTGGAGGAACTCAAGCCATTCAGCTTGCTGCAGGGAAGCACTGAAGACAGCTGCAGCTTTTCGCGTCATCGCAAGCCTGCTTGCAGCAGGGGCCAAAATCATGTTCCTTGCAATAAATTACCAGGAGCCAGTGACATCGAGTATTTGGATGATGAATTGCACACGCATTCAGCATGATCAGAACAAAACCTCTGGGTGTGGGCACTTCCCTGGCTGCTGCAAGGCTGTGAGCCCCAACCAAAATCCCATCAGGGCTGCTGGGCACCTGCAACTACAATTTGCTTTGTCTCCTGTTCAGATGGTCACTGAAGTGGGAAGTTGGGTCTTGACACCCATATCTGAAAGCAACAGGGTGGCTTTTTCCCTGGCTGTGTCTGTTTCCCTGGCTGTGTCTCCTCCATGTGTCCTCGTGACCACCTTGCAGCAAAAAGCCACAGCCCGGAGCAGAGCACAGCTCGATCCAGCCCAGTCACAGCAGGACCAGGGCCTTGGAGCTGCTGAGAGCTCCTGTGGTGAGCCATTATACAACCATAAGGCTAGAGGAGGAATAGCAGAAAGGAATCTGGTCCGCTATTAGTCCCTGGGGAACCGAGGGAGCTTTCTTGCTTTAATTACTTTGCAGACCTATTAAGGCTGCTGCTACAGTCCTCGGCGGGGCTGCAGGCACCTGAGCAGAGCAGAGCAGGAGGTCCCTGGCTGGGACGGTGGATTTGCAGGCAGGAAGGGCCATGGTCTCACGCGAGCTGATCTGTGGAGCTCAGTCCAACCACGTCTTCTGTGTGCTAGAGGGGAGAGCTCTCCACCAGACGGGGAAAGCCCAGAGGGTCCTGCTTTATCTCCTTACATGTTTTAATTCATCACAGGAGCTTTTAGAAGCTTAAGCTTTTGGAAAGGCAGCTGATTAGTCAGCCCTTCAGACAGCCCCGCTAACCACATCTCCTGCCTCCAGAGCTGCTACAAAGCGCTCAGGAGGATCTCCCTTGCTCCCTCCTACAGGCAGCAAAGCTACTTTACAGCCTGCCCAAGCCTGTCCAACTGCACACATGAGAAAAGGTTGCTGTAGCCAGGAAACCTAAGCCCCAGACCTTCAGTCTCTCTATAAACAGCAGGTAGGTGGGCACTCAAGGTGCATCCACAGTGCCCAGCCTGGCAGACCCTGGAACTCTCCCACACCATCCCTAAGGCACACGCAAGTTTCAGCAGCCTGCTGCATTCCTGCACCACAACCTGCATTTTGACTGCCTGAGCAACCCTTACTGAGATAAGGGACCCAGTTTCTCATGTCCCACAGGACAGAGGAGTTTTTATCCGTCTGCTGAGCCCTGTGGCTTGTTTTTGGCAAAAGCTTCTTCCAGTGACTTGGTTCTGCAGGCCCGGCGGGATGGAGAACTGCCACTTCCCATGGAACCTGTTCCAGTGGTTAAACATCCGCACTGTTAACAGTCTTTATTTTCAGCTTGAATTTGTCTGGCGTCAGCTTCCAACCAGTGGTTCTTGCTCTTTCTTTTTCCACTAGATTAAAGGATCTTCAGCATCCAAGGCTCACTCCCTGTGGAGGTCTGTGCATCCTGTTCAAGACGCGGCTGGTCGTTCCTCCAGCAGGACTGGGCTGATGCAGTTCTTAACATCACCCGTGACCTTGTTGTGCTTCTTGGACAGCTCAAGGCTTTCCTACCCAAATCCCACACAAAGATCTGGCAGCGGCAGCCCCCTGGGCAGCACAGACTTTGCATGGCGCAGCACCAGCACCGAGCCCTGCCTAGAGGTGGCTCTTGCACCCAGCAGTCCTCTGCAGCTGTTGACATCTCTGCCTGGGATTGCATTGCTTTTGCTGTGCTTCTCCTCTTCCTTCCTGCCCCAACGGCTGTGAGTGCATCATCTCACCCCACTCTTTCACAGCTGTGGCCACGATGCCTGCGCTGTGCGCTTATGGGGGCTTGCTTCAGCTTGGTTGCTGGCTGGTCCTGCGGGCGGAATATCTTCTTGTGGTTAGGAAAAGGAAACGAGGTCACGTTTTTCAATGGCTGTCCAGTGAGTCCCAAAGCACGGCACGTGGCACTGCCAGGAGAGTTGCTCCAACCCCAATTACCTGCTAACATGGATGCACACGGCAGCTGGGAGAGCCACAGCCTCACCCACCAGTGCCAGCAGCAGTGCATTCGGGCTCGGCATCAGCTGCTTGTCCCATAGCTCTGGGTCTCCCCAGCAGCACAACCCTCAGAAGTCTGCTGAGCCATTGTGCACTGGCCCTGAGCAGGCGAGCTCCCGCCACACAAGCAGAGCAGATGGAGCAGCAGTCAGAGTCCTTTTGTCATCACCTCTCCCTAACAGGGTCCAGGCAATGGAGGCGACAGGAAGGGAGCAGAGCCACAGGATCAGGCAGGTTAGAAACCAAATACAATTTGTTTGCTGTTTTCCCTTCATCTGCTACTTTTCACCATCACACTACTTCCCTCCATTCTGCCAGTAGCTGTGTGCCATGCTGAAGAGCACCTTGCTATCCCCACCACCCCTGCAGCTGGTGGCAGTGGGTGGCTGGGTGCACAGCACATGCATGGCATGGCTCTTCTGTGCATGTGTCCCACAGCCCCAGTGGGTGGGAGCCTGAGCTGCAGGCAGCTCACAGCTTTGATGCCTTTCAAAGTCCAAGCATACGCACTTCAGATACTTTTTTTTTTTATGGAGCACAAAGAGGGAAAGGCCCCTTAACCCAATGTGACAGTGAGCAGAGTGCAAGCGCTTTAAATCTGTCTCCTGGTTTGCAGATAAAAGGAGCCTCAGAGCAGGCTCACAGATAGAATGCAGCCAGGGTGTGGGGAGCAAGGGATGCTGCAGCCCTCAGCATAGCCACGGCTGGAAGAGAAGCAGAGCCCCTCGGAACTGCACCAGGCAGTTCCCATGCAGCTTTGGGTCTTCACATGGCCCAGAATTTCATCCCTCTTTCCAGCAGCCAGAGCCCATGTACCACACAAGCCACTTCTGCTTCATTCTCTCCACTCCCTTCCTCTCCCCATCTGCAGACATCACTTGCGCCAGAGCCCATACTCCAGTGTGCAGGGCAGATGGGGGTGCCAGACACCCGTGCTGCAGATTTACGGTCACAAAGAACAGCTTCCATGTGTGTGAGCTCTAATGGACCGGCTCCTTCTCCCCACCCTTTGTTGCTCCCCGCATGGGGACACTGTTTCCCACTGCCACATGGCCCCATCAGCAGGGCAGGGATGGGTGCAGGTGGATGGATGCAGCCCCCAACCCTGGATGGGGGTGATTATTGCAGCACAGCGCGAGGCAGGAGAGGCTTGGCTGGGGAGAAGCTGGGACCTTCAGCGGTAAGGAGCAGCGTGGCCGCCAAGGCAGCTCGGCTAACGAGCGCTCAGGGGAATGCAGACGTGCAGCAGGCGGGGAGCCCTGCTCCCAACCCTGGCACCTTGGCCAGGACACGCAGTAACTTTCCCATTGAGTTCCTCAGTGCCTGTGGGCTAAGCAAAGGAGGTGAAAAATTGCTGGCGGCATCCAAGCGTCCGAGTGCAGCCCCACCAGGCGCAGCCCGCCGCACCGCCGTGGTGCTTTCCCAAGGACGCCATCAATTCACACACAATATTACACTGTCTTTTCCTACCACGGCTGAGCAGGCAGCCTCTGCCATTGCTTTGCCCTGTGATCCCTCGAAGCCTTTTCTCACGCCCCCGTATGCTGTTTATTAAACTTAGATGGAGGAAGTTTTAGCACCTAATGCAGGAGAACCTTGTCCCTCACAGCCTTTAGAAGAAGGTTCAAGAGATGCCACAGTTATCAGGAAACCTGAGTTTGGTTTTCAGCTTTGGCCTTTTTGTTGGGTTTGTGTTTCTCTGGCCCTCCCTAGAAGCATACCCAAATTTCTGCACACATAGGTGTAACCTCACAGCACTTCTTGTGCATTAAGGGGGCAGACATCAGTTCCAAAAATGGATAAAACAGAGGGGACTTCTGTATGGATGAGCATTTCAAAGTTTTGCATGCTCTAGCAGTCTGAAGAGATAGCTCACACTTACCTTGGGGCCTCTGCAATGAAATGAACGTTTTGCACCATTCTGGACTGCTTCAGAGTGATATTAACCAGGGTGATGTATTATGTCTACTGCATGCCTAAAAGGAGCAGATAGCTCCTAAATGCCAGATAGGCTTTTCAAAGGCATTGCCCCATGAAGGGTGAATATCAGTGCCGCTTCTCCCCTCACTTCATCTACTCCCTGCTCCCACACACGTATGGATGGGCTCAGATGCATGCAGACAGACTTACGGACAGGAGAAGCTCTGCCTGAAGGACTTCTCAAGCACATGCCACGCAGTCAAGCCCTGATTGCTTTACAGCTGGCTGCCCCGATCGCTCAAGAAGAAAAAGCACTTCAATGATACTCAACCAAGTTCTCTCAGAAATAACAAGGCATTAAAACACTTGAGAGCAGCTGCATTAAGCTTGGCAGAAGCATTTATATTCCGCAGCCTGAGCACATCCATGCCCAATTCAAGGCACCCAATTTCTCCTGTTTTCTTCCCATTAGTTGCAAGAGAAGCCTATTTCTGCAGGTCTGCCATTGGATGAAGGCTCAGGTGTGGTCTGAAGGCTCACAGCACGGCCCACAGCAGCACCACCCCACTGCAGAGAGCTGTGCACTGACCTTTCTATTCCTGTACACAGCAATGTCTCCAGTGCATGGCCCTGGCTGTGCACATTCCCTGGCCCCATGCAGACAGCGTATGCCAGGTCTTACCAGGTCCCTTGTGCCACTCGCTGCACCGTGCCACAAGGGCAGCACCAAAGTGAGCAGGACCAGCAGCAAACTGCCACACTCACTCAGGCAACAGCACAGCCTTCTCTCAACAGCCTCTGCCTTGTGCCCATCCCACCTGCAGAAAAGTCTTTGTGACAGCAGCCAGCAAGTGTGTTGGGTTTCACGGCGCGGTGACCCCGCACAGGTCCATCCAGACACTTTCATCCCCCTGATAGCTCCCACGGGAAAATAGCAGTCACTGTACTGCCATGTGGGTCACAGTCTGATCTCCACAAGCTTTTTTATGCTCACATCTTTGAAGTCCCGTACTAATCTGCACCTGCTCGTGGCTCTTTTAAAGCGCACGAGCAACGCTGGTGCTTGTGCAGGACTGTGTTACTGGGACGTGAGCAGCAGATCAGCTCTGGAGCACATGGGAGAGCAAGGAAGAGGCCACAAGAGGCATGGTGTCTGATTTAGTTGGAAAATTATAACAGCAGTAATTTGAATAACTTAATTGTCTTTATCAGCTCAGGGCATATTCCCCAAACTCTCCCCTGGTGTTGCCCTGAAGAAACCCTGTAAACTCCTTCTTGGGGTGAGCAGAGCACCCAGCCATCCTGTCTGCTTCTCCACTTACAAGGTGAGGGATTTCCTAGACCAAAGGGAAAACAGAACAGATCAGATGGAAAGGAAACCTGCTACTTTTAAAGAGATTTTGCATACTCTTTCTTTATTCTCACCCTGTGTGGGAAGACCCAGCCATCCGGGGGGGGTTTTGGAGAGCAAGGAATGATGCAGGGCATCACTGAGAACCACCTGGTCTCAGCTGGAGATGGGACTGCAGCACAACCTTGCCCTGGAATGCCCCCCTATAGTCACTGGCATTGCTGCTGTGGCACTGGCCTCCCTGCCATGCTCTCAACCTCTGGGCACTGGAAGAAGTTCCAGCCACAGCAACAAAGCTCTCCCATCTGCTTCCAACATGCTGTATTTGACATTAACTAATGTCTCCTATTAACACTGAATGAAACAGATCTGGAAAAATTCATTTGCAAGCAGAGTTCAAACAGGCCACAAGGAGAGGTGGATTCTCAGCTGTGTCCTGGATATTTCTGTGGCGAAGCCAAGCATCTGCAAGAGGGGTCAGGGATAAAGGCAGCACATCATTCTGGGTGCAGGGAAGAGAAAAACCAGATCCCCCCTAAAACCTGGCTGTGAGAAGGGTGCATCTCTGCGATTGGCCCCGGGCAGACCTACCGGCAGGGGGTTGAAGTTCTGGTCCACCAGGTGGTTGTGGCCATGGTCAAGGAAGGAGTGCCGCACCACTACATCAATGCCTTGGCTGGCCAGCAAGCCCAATGTATTCAGCCACCTGTGTTGAGGAGACAGGGTTAGGCCACTGTAGGGACCCGAGCTTGTCTGTGCTCCCACCCATTGTGCTGTCATCAGCAAACTAAGCCAGCCCCAGCCCACGTGTCCTGGGCATGTTGCTATGCCTGCCCTTAGAGCAAGGAAAACCTTCCTTGATCCTTTGTGATCACAGTTAGCTCTGAAGATTGCAACAGGATCTATGTGCTACTGAGCTGTGCCATTGGACAAGCCCGAGGATCCAGCAATAGCTGTGGTTTCTAAGAAGGGCAAAATATGGTTTCCAGACTTGGACCTTGTGCTCTGAAGAGCTTCAGGCTTCAGTTGCCCAGAAAGGGATGCGAGGAGTGAAATGCATGCAAGGGTGCGTGGCTGCAGAATGGGGAAAGGGCGGCGAGGCTGTGGGGTGCAAGCCCCAACCCCAGAGCTGGGGTGCATAGAGGAGCGCTGTGCACAGAGCCTGTGGCAGTGGTGGCAGTGCCCTCGTGCCAGGAGCTGTGTCACTCACAGGAACCCGGCCGCATAGGAATCGGAGAGGTTGTTCATGCCTCCAGCAGAGGTAGCACCGACGCCTTCCAGCCAGATCTTCTTGCCCGGTGTGTACGTGTTCACAACCTGCACAGGGAACAACACACATCAAATGCAGCACCACTCTCCTGTTCCCACAGGGCAGGTGCAATTTGCATGTCTCTGACATGTAATGGCTGTGTTCAGTATAGAGACTGTGGCAGGGGCAACCTGGCGGCTTGCAGTGGGAGGAGAAATAGCTGCCACTGTGGGAGCAACATGGGACGGGGCAGCCACAGCTGGGCACCGAAGCATCAGGGGCTCCAGATACATGGGCACCACACAATGAATCCTCTCCTCTTCAGCAATCTTGCTTCTCCAGGCCGGGCTATGAGCTCCTGCAGCCAGATGTCTGCAAGCTCCACAGCCCAGGAGCACGCTGCACAGCCTGACGGATCCTGCCCCATTAGTGAGGAACACTGGAATGTGCTGGATGGACTGGGATCCCTCAAAGCTGTTAAATACGCCAGCTCTGGGCTGCCTCCCACTCACAGCCTGTGAGAGTCGACATCCCTGACTGAAGCCCCAGAGGTGTTGGCATCCTGCCTGTAATTATCTAAGCCCGCCACCTTCCCCAGTCAGAGAGGAAGCAATAAAACAGGGAAGTGGACAAGCCCAGCTGCTCTAATCAGCCCCGGCAGGATGCACGGACTCAAAGCCAAGCTGGAGGCTATTAGCACCCAGCATTGTGCTTTTGCTCAGCCACACTGGCATTCCCAGGAGAGCTCTTCCCACTCCCCAGACCCAATAGAGGGCAGCTCCTCACTGCTGCGGGTCTGGGGCTGGATGGGAACCAGGACCCCCCAGGGCTGCACCATGTCTCCACCTTGCTGCCCATGGCTTTCCTGGCCATCCCATGACCATCCCCAGCAGTGAGACGTGTCACCAGTTTTGTGCAAGCAGGGTAGGATTGTGCCCCATGCTTGTCCCTGTGCCCAACTCATGCTCCCTGCCAAAAGTGGGTTACTCATGCATGGGGATGGTCCCTGGGTTGTGCAGGACAACACAGCAAGCAGCTCCCATCCTCTGGTTTTGCTGTGCCGACCCACGTGTCCCCTTTCCTGGGGCCTCTTTGAGTTGTTTGCTCATCCTACAGTTTCTTCTTGCAGGAATTACAGCAGCGAGACATCGTGGTGACTGATACAGTAAGAAAACTTTGACAAGACAGGCAAATGGACAGTCCTCTCACTCCAAAACACTTTGCTCTTATCAGATGTTCATCCTTTGTTGCAGGATTGGCAGCTGAGCTGCCCATAGCCCCAGTCCCTGTGGCAGCTGAACCAGGGGACCCCCAAAGTTCCCATTTCTTACACAGTGGCTGTAGCCTGGAGCTGTCCTGTGGGCAGCAGGGATGGAGTGGCTCACTGCATGCCGCACTGTCCAGAGCAAATCAGAAATCACCCTGGAATTGTAATAGACACCTAGGGCTGGCCAGGTTGCTACCCCATCTCCTCCTCCATCCCCAGGGTGGAGATACCATCCCTCCACCCCACCCTGCAAGCTAGGGATTGCTGCACCAGCCCCACACCTTGAGCAGTGCCCAGCCCAGGCACTGAGCTGCAGTACTGTGGGCACAGTGCCCACTAACCCTTGCAGACTGTGCACTCACTTTCTGGATTTTCCTGATCTGGTCGGACAGTGTGTCTAGCAGGCGTGTTTTCAGGAAGTCGGTCACTTTGGCCACTCGGCCATCGATGTAGTAACTGCAAGGAAAACAAGATGACAAGAATGAAACTAGTGGCATTAGTTCTGCCCCTGTCCGTGTCCTTCTGTCCCACTGCTGTCTCACACCAAGAAGCCTTTTTACCTCCAGGAGAGGACCTCTGCAGAGCTGCTGTGTCCTCTCCTACATCCCTCGTCCTGCTAACACAGGAGTGCCTGCTGCCCTGGACATGGCACTGAGCATTTCCCATCCAGGGGATTCCTGCTCTCCACGTGCTCGCTTCAATGAAACATGGTTATAGTGCTGCCAATCAGAATCCGAATCATCTGCATCCAGGTGTGGGAGGAAGGCTTTGAAATGCCTGAGTGCTGGCTCCTGGTTCCAGGACATAAGGTGAAGCAATCCATCTTTGGGGTGCAAACATCCTGAATTGGAGTTGGTCCCAAACATCTTGTCCGGAAGGAGTGATCAGTGCTGGCACCCTTCACACAGCAGCCATAGGTGAGGCAATGCAGAGGGGCAGGAGGTCTCAGGATGGGAGCACAAATCCTATAGCACCTACATCTGTCCCTTTGGGTCCCTCCCAGGCATGCTGGGCTGCTGCACTGGGTATTCTGGGAGCTGCCCTCCAACCTTTGTCATTGGTGCTGGAAAAATGGCAGGGAAAGAGGCTCCCTCAGTACTTGAAATGTGGAGATGTGGATAAGAAGAGCACAGCAGGGCATTTTGGTAATGCACGGGATTGGAGGATGCTGTTACAGACACATACATATGTACCAGGGATTGCATACTCCACTTGTTGTCCTGGGGTGTGAAAAAAAGGCAGCTTCACCTTCCCAGAAGTATCAGCTCCTTTACAGGTGTGGTTTCTCTATGAGAAGCATCTCATCCAGAGTAAGGCCCCATGCGCACTGGGCAGCCCATTGCTGAGTGTCTTTCTGAGATTGAGTCTAGCAAACGAGAAAGGCAGCAGTGACGTCTCCTTGCAGGGATGTTGTTAGCAAAGTGAGCAGCCAGCAGCTGTGGGGGAGCCTCCCCACATGGGTACAGAGGTGCACACGAGGGCAGGAGCCTCCCCATAGGATGCTGCAGCTTGAATCAGGCTTGGCCAGGACACGCAGAACACGTGCAACATGCATGAACGCTCAGAGAGGATTTTAGCTTCTCAATGCTCCAACTCACTGATCAGGTAACGGGGTAAGCGTGCTTGGAGCTGTGCAGGGCTGCAGGGGAAGGCGAGCAGCCAGCACTGCCTGGCCCAGAACGGAGATGAATTACAGACTCAACTTGCAGATGCCCTGAACATGAAGGGTCTCCTCTGCAAATCCTCTCCCAGGTGTGAATTTCTAGCTTTGTCCCCCAAAAAACTCAGCATCGTGCCAGCCAGACTCTGGATTCACTCCAACCCTCTGTAATAGGGGGAAGTAGGAAAGAGGCATTTTGGCACATCTGTGCTGACAGTACGGTGCTAAGGGCAGAAAGTTGCTCAGGGAGGGGGACTTGGGAAGTGTTTGACGTTGTTCAAATCAACCCTTATACAACACAGAACCGCTGACTGCTGTGAGGACAGCAGGCCTGTGAGCAGCAGGCAGTGAGGGGGTTTACAGAGATTACTTTTTAAGACAAAATTACAAAGCAGCAGACTCTGGGGATGGCAGATGTTTGGATTTTAGTACAGCACTTAAGAACTGAACAGAAATGATTTTTGGCCTGCTGTGGCAAAAAAAAAAACCCACCATCACCTGGGCTGAAAACTGGCTGCAAGGCCATAAAAGGAAGGTTGTATGAGGTGGAAGAAGATGAAGTTAAAGACCTCAGCCTACAGCAGAGGACAAGATATCTGCTCTAACCAGGAGCAGCTCTGGGGCACAGCCACCACCAGGGACACTTCACACCTGCACTAACAACCCAGAGAAATAGGGGATGGCACAGGAATGAATAAACCTGCTGCTTTGGTCTCAGGACATCTTGCTGATAGCTCATACCCCACGGCTTTGGGTATTCAAGCAGAGCCTGAAGACAATTCCATTATTTCTCTAAGGCTGGCAGAGATCTATTCTCAGGCACCAAGAGGTACATTCAACACCCAAAAGTGGTCAAGAGGGAAAACGGCATCAGCTGCACAGGAGCTGTGAACCAAGGCCAAAAGGATGGGCTGGAGCTTCACCAGCTAGGCTGAGGTCTCTGAAGCCCTGGAACAAACTGAGCAGCACCAACACAGCCTGGTGGGTGGGTGCTGGCAATGGTGTGGCACCAGGGTTGGCCCCAAAGACCACGAGGATGCAGGGCACGTGGGTTCCCATAGCATAGGAGGCCACCGACCTGACTGCTGCCCCAGGTGACTGCTGTCAGCCCAGCACACCTCAGTCCTGTCACCTCTGGGATCACACTGCCTGCCTCACTTTTCTCTGGAAAGATCCACAACTTGCTGCGTGGGACCATGAGCATCACACTGGGTTTAATGAAGGCAGTGCACTGGCTCCTGGGCAGCTGGTTTCATTTACCTCCTTTCATTTTAAAGAGGAACCTTTGCCCCTATTATCTGACCTCTTCTTCTGTTGCAGTTAATTACATTAAAGCCCACTTCCCAAAGCTCAGGAATTTCCGGATCTACTTTGTTGCCTGCTGCTACAGGGAGAGTCTGCTAGGAATTAGGGCACCAGCCTGCTGGGGACGTGAATGGGTCCAGCCTCACTGCCAGCATCACTCCAACTGCTACCAAACGGAGACATCCTCTGCTGACACAGGCAGCCCTGTGCTCTGCCACTGTCCCATATGCCAAGGCCAGAGAGATGTCATCCAAACTCAGCACTGCAAAGCACTTTAAGCAGCATCCCATATGTGTCTGTGTGCATGACATCCCCGGTTTGCCACATGGTATGAGTGACTTTCCATATTGGAAGGTAGCATCATATTCTCCAAAGACTTGAAGGGATAGATGTCCATGACTTTGAAGATGCAAGCATTTACTTGCCTTGCAAATAAATGAGTTTGTGGGCTGCAAAGACAGCCTTGCACAAGGATGTGCCCATTAGATTTGCCAAACTTTGAGGTCTGCACAGCACTTCAGGTGGAAAACCAGCCATACAGTGACACACAGAAAGGGGACCAGGGCATGGGCACAGGTTAGGGAGACAATGAATCTTCAATGTATGCAAGACACCAAGCTTTGGAGCAGAGCCAAAAGGAGATGTGGTTGTGGGAAGGGTTCTGAACTGTGGAAATCCACATTCAAAGACTGACTGGATCCACAATAAACTGAGCATTCGCTCCTAACCAAACCATAAACTAAATTACACAAGAAATGCCAAAACTCTGCGAGCCTCTGTCAGTCCTAATTGCCACACCCTCTGCTAGTGGAAATTCCCTAAACATTTCTGAGCCATTCACACATCCCTCTCCAGCAACACATTACTTCTGAAGAGGGAGGCACACACGCTGAGTTACATATGTAAGTGAAACCATACTAAGAAAGACTGGCAAGCCTTCTTATTTACACCCTGTGTCACTTCTCAGATGTATTTCAGAGAAGAAATGGTCATGTGTTTTCACAGAGGATAGAGATCTCTGCAATGTATTCCCTTCTCAATTCCCCTTCTGGATAGAGTGCAACCTTTTCAAAGGAGTAACAGATTTGACAAATTTATAACCAATATCCCAGGAGAACATTAGGGTTTGGAACAGAAAGGCTCATAGTTGCCGTTAGAGAGCAGTTCGGTTTCCTGCTAATAATTTTCTTCTTGGATACAAAGGAGCTTGTTTTGTTTTGTTTTGCTGTTTGGAGCAGAGGGATGAGACACTGTTTTGACATTTACTCATAAACAGTACAGAAGCCCAGATTGGAGCTGTGGCTATTGTCAGTCCTCACAAAAGCAGACGGGTGCAACCCTCCCAAGCTGGAAGCCCAGGCAGGGGGAGCAGTGGCTCCCGTACCTACCTGGGTGGGAAGTGCTCAGCAAGTGACATCCCAGCCACACTGCCTACCTGTAGGGAGCTGTAACCCCACCTGCCTGCAGCACCTGGTCCCAAAAGGAAGGATCCCTGAGCCACAGCTCCCTGCATAAAGGCTGGCTGCTTCTTCCTGCAGTGCATCCAAGGGCTTGGCCCAGCCATCAAGCCCTGTTTCAGCAAGCGAATTCCTGGGCTAAGTAAATGCGATCAGCACATCGTGTAATCATGAAAAGCAAACTCCCAGCTGAGGCATAGATCATCATTGCACAGCATGAGTCTGTAAGTAACACAAATCCCACTCCCAACACTCTGCTACCCCACTGCCCTGCTTGCACAGAGCTGCTGCCTCAGGGAAGCCTCAGGAGTCAGGTAGCAGAGCAGCACGGCAAGGCACGTGGCTCCCCAGAAATGGGACTTGCTGGGTGCCAGCCAGGGCTGCTGCCATAAACCACTCTCAGATGCAGACAGTTGCTTCTGCAGGAGGCTCTGAGGTTAACACACCAACACAGAGCCCCTGGGCTTACTTGCAGGAAAACCTCACGTCTTAAAAGCCACTGAGCTCTTTTTAAGTGTAGGTCTCCAGGTGGGCTTTACAAAAGGAGCTGGGATCTGCAGGAGAGGAACAAATGTCCCCATAACCTGGCCAGTATACCTCAAAGAGATTGTGGATGCCCCATCCCTGGAGGCATTCAAGGCCAGGCTGGATGTGGCTGTGGGCAGCCTGGTCTAGTGGTTGGCAACCCTGCACGTAGCAGGGGGGTTGAAACTTGATGATCAGTGTGATCTTTTTCAACCCAGGCCATTCTATGATGATTCTATGAAGTGCCAGGAGGGGATCAGCAGCACTGACAGGTGATGGGATACTCTGAATGGGAGGGGATGAGATGGCATGCTCCACTCCAGCAAAGTAGCCTGAGCTCCCTTGAAGACCCAGTGCTAAGCTCAAATTAGGACAGAAGCCCAGCCAGGACCTGAGACCCCAGCTTCACTGCTCAAGACACCAGAGCAAATGCAGTTTTTCAGGACGCAGGGAGGTTTCACCCTGCTGCTTCCAAAGGTGTATGCCATCAGCCTAGCTTTGGGCCAGTTGCAATGGGGCTTGGTTTCCAGTGGGCAGGCATGTTTTTAGCCTCTGTCTCAGCTTCCGGGATGAAACATGCCCACTTCTGCTGCAGAAGAAGGGGCAATGCCTCGTTTTCCTATTTAAAGGACAAGAACAGCAGATGTGGCTCCTACTATTTGTCCCCTTCCACATCCAGCCAGCCCATTCATTTTGCTCTGGACACCATCAGATCACTCCAATTAGTGTAGGAAAGCAGAAGGAATGGTGAATACCTACTGTTGCCAGGTAACAGCATCCACTGTGCTGCCAGCCACTTTCATGAACCTAAAGGAAACAGAGGAAGAAATCATGTCAGTCCAAACTTGTCACAGATGTCCATAAGGAAGGGGAAATCCTAAAACAACCTACATCACAGGATACCAAGGATGGTCACTTTTGAAGGTTAGAATGCATACAGGCAACAGGAACCACTGGTTTGGTCAAGAGAACACAACAGTGCTCTGTGGTGCATGGATATCCAAGAGCCCAGGGGTGCACGAATATCCTCGCTACCCAAGGAGCTGCATGCCCTGCAGCCCCAACTGCCCCCGTCTGGCCTGCAACCAAGGGTGGGAGAGAAAGGAGAAGGTTTGTGGGGAGAGAAGGGACATTTGATCAGGCCAGTTGGCAAGGGGGGGAGAAACAGCCAGCAAGCTTTGCAGCACACAAGCCTCTAATCAGGTCTGAAAAAAAGAGCAGCAAACTTCAGCCTAAATATAGCTCGGAAACAATCATTCTAACTTTAAATTAATGACGATAGTCAATTATAGACTGGGACGAAAGGGCATCTGGACCCTGTGAAGCATAAGAGGACACTGGCAAAGGCAGAGGTAATAAATCCCTGCGGACAGGAGGGAAGAGACACAATTAGAAATGGAAAAACAATAACGTGCTGTAATAGCACTGATGCGTCCCCGCTTCTCCTGCCCAGCAGTGCAGAGGCTGTCAGTTCCCAGGCTCGCGCTCCAGCAGCGCTCTGTGTCCCCATGAGGGGCAGCAGAGCAGTGGCTTTGGGGCCGGCTCCTCCTTGGCCATCCAGGGCAGCAGGACAGAGCAAGAAGTACAAATCCTGCACCACTCATGCAGGGCACCTGGCTCAACGGTGCTGTCACTCAGTCACAAAGGGCACCTGCTGAGGATGCTCCTCTGCAGAACTCACTGCTCGCACCATGCCTGCAGTATCACTGCCAGCACACCCCAGTCCTTGTGCGGGGACCGAAAGCAAAACCCCACAATCTCCAGCATCCCTAGAGTGGCAGAAGCAGTGCCTCTGACTGCTCTGTCTCCTTAGGAAACTAACAGACCTCTTTGTTTTCCTTTTCTGTCCCCGGGAGAGTGAAATACATTGACTAGTTCTACTCATTTTCAAACTTTTCTATTAAAGATACATAACCACCCAATTTTGCTTTCTGCATCTATTTTTCTTTCCACCTTTAAATGGAGATTTGTTGCAAGTCACAGATCAGAATTTCCCCTGTTAAATCTTTGAGTCTTGATGGTGAAGTTGCGCATGGAGCGCATTGGATAACTCAAACTCTGGGAACCTGGATCAGCTCAATAGCCAGCAAGTGGTACTGCAAGAGCCAGAGATGAAAGCCTAGTGCAGGTGGAGACCCAGCGGTGCACAGGTATCCGAATATTCACAGCTTAGGAATGCAGATGTTATTAATCCTTTATTCCTGAAGCACCTGTGCTGCTCAAACCCTGGATTCCAAGGCCGGTGAAGAACCATGCAGACCTGCAGTCCGACCAGAGCTGGCACATGTCTGTCTGGGATTTCCTGGGCTATGCGATGTGCACATGTGCAGCACCACGCAGGCAGAGCAAACCAGAGGCTTCCGGCATGGATCAGATCCCTGCACATGTGCCGTGCAGATGCTCCGTGCTGGTGCAGTAAATCTGCCATTTCCTTACACTGGGCTCTGCGAACAGCACTGAACTCTGAGATGCACATGCACTGAGTCACCTCTAGGAGCCGCGGGACAAGCTCAGCCTGCTTAGGGCAACATCCCATAATTCGGGCGGCAGCCCCAGCCACTGCAGCATCCCTGGCTGGGCTTCCACGTGGCAGAAACCTCTGCATATCCTCAGAATCAGATGAGGCAGAAACTCCAGGTGGGAGAGAATACATCTCCTGTCCTGATTCAATCCCCCCCAGTCATGGAACACCCACTGCGACCTTACGCAAATTGCTCCCATGGCTAATTAGCTTCCAAGTATGTTATTTCTCATCTAAATGTGTCTGTCTTCAGCCTCCAGCCACTGGAACTTCCTAGGTTTATTCCTGATACATTAAAGAGCCATTTGCATTTGGAAATCTCCTTCCCATGAAGGTAATTGCTGATTGTCAACCTTGAAATAAAATATATTAAAAAAAAAAAAAAAAAACAAATTAAAAAGTGATCCTGTAGCAAAGAATGCAGCTGCAGAAGGGAGACAAATGACCACCTCACAGCCTCCCAGTGGTTTAGCACTGTTTGACTCCCAGAGCTGGACTTCACAACCATGTGTTGCTCCATCTGGTACACCCTGGTGAACTATGCAAGCCAACTGCACCATAGCTTTGCTACCAGAAGAGCTGGCTCTTGAAAGCTGGGGCAACGGCCAGGCTCTGAAGGACAGCACACTCGTATCTACATGGACTTTTCTGCCTCACCACCTTTCTTAGAAGTCAAACGGGGTCAGCACCCATTCCGTGGCTCCAGCTAGAGCAGCCTACTCCATCTCTGCTCACGTGGAAGGCATTGCATACCTCTGCACATCTCTGTAACATTCTTGGTTCTATTACATCTTTTCTGAGATGAAACGACTGAGATTGTAGATAGCAATCAGGATGAAGGCACACCATGTACCCATACAACACTATCATCTCATCTATGTCTTTTCTTACTCGCTTTGTTCTCCCTGTACAGGTGATGGTGATTTCAGCTTTTCAGCCATCCAGATCCGGTTTCAGTTACAAAGACTGTCTTAACTCTTTCCTCCTGAAAGAGTAATAGATGGACCTTTGCTTGTACCTTAGATCTTCGCTCCTGCTATAAAACCAGCTGCAAAATGCCTGATCACATTCTTCACATCCTGTTTCAATGTATTTATGAATGCATTTCAATGTATTTATGAATGCACGTCCACAAGCTTAATGGCACATGAACGTGAGTTTACACTGCAGTATCCTTCCCTTTGCATCATTAGTTATTTGTCTTGTGGCTTCATTTTTTCCACAGAATTCTTGCTCTGGACCCATGCAGTATCCTGGTTCAGCCTGTGCCACCCCGCCCAAGAGATGCAGCACATGAGAGATGGCTCTTGGGACCAGCAGACTCCACGGGATCAGGACACTGAGCCACCTTCTGCCATCCTTGTTGCCAGCAGTCCTGGGGACAACCTGGGCAAAAGATTATTACGTTTTGTTCTGACGGCATGAGCCTTAACATATGTTAGCACCCTAATAGCTTTCCCTCATGTTTCTTCTCTTCCAGCACTGAATATATGATTCAGTGATACATTAACCTCGTGTCTGATTCCTGATCTACTGTTAAAGTCTTTGTTAAATCTTTGTTAACTCCTTAGAATCCTACTTGTTTTTGTTTTTTCCCCCAGGCAAATTCTGAGCAGTCCTGGGATTCCCGTACCCACAGACGCAGTAGGTAGCTAAGGTGGCCTGCTCTCTGACAGCTCAGGCTGCATGAATAGTCTAATTAACACCTCATCAAACTCAACTGTGAGTCCTGTCTGGAGAAATTCCCTCTTGCACCTGTGCACTCACATGTCCCCATTCCCCATTTGTTGCCTCCTGTGCAGCAGGGATTGCAGAGCAAATCCCTGTGGCAGTGGTCTGCTCTGTGGGGCAGTCCCAGGTGGCACTCACGTGCCCTGTGCCATTTCCCCGTGCAAGGTCTTTGCATCCCAGCAGTGAAGGGTGTGCTGTCATCACTGAGTAGGGCAAAGCTTGGTGCAGAGAGCAAGGCACTGTTCATGCTAACACTGCCATCACTGCAGGACAAGGTTTAGACATAAAGAATAAGTTTGGCGCGGTTGCTAGAATTTAAAGTTCAAGAATAGACTGCAATGTTTGGAATACAGGACATGCAACTGGGAATTGTGATTTTACGTAATGCTTCACACTGAGAAGATTTTCTCTGAGCATCTCCCCGCTCAGATAACTCGGGGCTTTCCCTGGAGAGCGCGTAATGTCAGCTTCTGTTTTCTTCTACTGTTGAAAATCATTCCCTGCTCTCTCTGAGCTCTCCTTTCCTCCTTCAGCTCATTTCCATCATTTATCTCACCAAAATTCACTTGTATGCTCTGTGTAATATGAACTTCTTTCCTCTCAGACTAAGCCAGCCGTTCTGCCTTCTGTGCTGGGCTGTCTCATCTCCTCTCCAACCTTAATGGCCACACCACAACCTCCAATTTAGTATCTCTTCCAACCAGCTTGACTTCTGCTGTTCATCACATTTTTTTAAATGAGAGCAAAACTTTGTACCTCTCATATATCAGAACTATGGACTGCATGTACGTGATCTGCTCTGCAGCCTTCATCCAAGCACTGCACAGACCACTCGTGGTGCTCCAACAAGGTGGGCAGAGGGCTTGCCATTGAAAGCACCTCCCGAAATTTCTTCTGCTTGCTGGCTTTTGTGGGGTTCATCTGGGATCTCCAGAGGCAAGCCTTGGCTGTGATGGCTGCAGGTACAGCCCATGGACCAGTGCTGTGATGCTCCTGCAGAAGGCAGACAGTTCTCAGTAGCACAAACCGAGAGCACTGAAGAGACCTCAGGGAGCTGCTGGGAATAAAGCTCATACTGTCAGCTTAGGCACTGGGTTTTATTTGTTTGTCCTTTTGCAATTCTGCTTCCAAATACTGCAAATAAGCGTTTAACTCTTTGTCTTCATTTAATCCAACTTATTTCTTGTCTTTAAGCCTTGCTTGGTAATACTATGGTCTTTATGGAGAGAAACTGCTGGTTCTTTCCCACAGAACCTCTGGCTGCAAGGCTGGACACATGGACTGCTCACCATGAACTTCAGGCACTGGGTATGGAGTGCAGGACACAAGGCTCAGCCACAGGGGCAGGGATGGCAATGAAGTAACAGTACATATCTTGGAGAACAGACATGCCCCTTGCAGCTCTTTCTGGTCAGCCTGGTGGACTGGAGAGCCCCCACCACTCTTCATACCTCATTCCCTTTCATTCAAAGATGGATTTCCACCACCTTTCCCACCACGCTGTACACTACAGCCCCACTCCTGGGTCACACATCAGCTAACATGTGGCTCTGGAGCCAAGAGACCCCCGACCATGCTGCTGCCATCTCCTTCCCCAGGACCCTGCAGCGACATGCAGAGGGCAAACACAGCAGCAAGACTTCCCCTTGTCTGAGAGCTCCTTGGCTCCCATCCCTCTTGTTTTCCTTTCTCAGCCTGCTCTGCCTGGCAGTAATAGAGTTCCTGCTGCTCAAGGCTACTACAGCACATTGCAGCTCCCTGAGCCACTCTCACTGTGCTGAGCAAGCCCTGGGGCTGCAGTGCCCACCTGGCATCAGCACGGATGCAGCCATGGTGCCCAGAAGGGGCTGCTCCCTGGCTGCCAGCAACGTTTAGGATGCTGGCCTTGCAGCTGGGTCAACCAGCTTTACCCATAGGCTCTGTGTGCTGCTGCAGCAGAGCTGAGAATCTGGCCCTCACTCCCTGCCTGCTTCACCGGGGACCACATCAGTGTGCTGTTTATTGTTTCTGCCAGATCATTCATGCAGATGTTAATGAATGTGAGACCCAGCTTTGCTCCCAGCAGAGTCCCTTCCACACCTCCCCCTGTCCAGCCCTCTGCGCTGGAGTTTCTGTTTACAGTCCTGCAGGGAATTTCCCCGCTGCTGGATGGTCTTCGAGCCCCCATGGTCCCAATTCTTGCTGCCAGCAGGCTCCCACACCTCCCTGGTTCCTGTAGCTGGCCAATGTCACCTCCAGCTGTTCAAGTCCCTCACTGTCGCCATTCCTTCCCCACACTCCTCTCTTCAGCCTCCTCAAACTCCAGCCAGACCTGCCTGTTCTCCTATCCATCGGTTTAAGAATATGCCAGCAGATCCACCCCAGCATCGCTGTCCTTTCCTGAGTGCCATTTTTACCTAAAGAGATGAAAAAGAAACCAAGAAGCTGAAGCCAGAGTGTCAATATAATCAATGGAAGTCACAGTGGCATGACTGTGGAATGTATTGGTGGAAAAGCATCATAGCACTGAACGGTGCCAGCTACAGTGTGACAGGCAAAACCTTCTTCAAGGGACAGCAGGAAGGGAGGAAAGGGCATTTCCCAGACAGGTCATGAACTCTGCTGGTGAAAGGGATCTGAATCTCAGTACCACAAGCAGAAAAACTGTTTGTGTAACTTGGTCAGAATCAATGTGAGCAATCATGAGCAAAAATGCTTTGACAATGGCTGAGTGCCATACATTATCCTCTGCACTGTAATTCTTGTCCTGGCCAGGATGCAGCAGTGATGAAGGGCACTTACCAGCTTTCCTTCTGCATGGATAGAGAAAGCACAGCGAGAAGCAGCTAACAAACAGAAGGAGCAAAGTGGTGCCAGGACCCACCTCCTGGCCTCAAAACCTGTAGCTGTGCAGCAGCCTCTAACTGCATCCCTGAATCCCAGGAGGATGAGCACCTCAGTCTTCCTGTAACTGGGAAACACTGGAAGCACTTGGGGAATGGCAGTTGGCCCAGCCCAAACAAAACAGTATCACTTACCCTTCCAAGAGAGCCATGACATTCTTCCTGGGTCTCCCAATGTTTGGCCCATAGAGGTTTGCTCTGGAATAGGTACGGATGAGCTGCAGCAGGCTCCTCAGCTGAATGTAGTCCTTCCCCAGCTGGCTGCCGTTCACTGAGCGGCCAATCAAGGTCCGGTAGTTATTGGGCTCTGGGCAAATAAGAACAGATGGGCAAGGCTTGCTAGCTCTGCTCTTCTATCTCCTCTTCTGGAGAGAGCTCACATACTGTCACACAGCTCCTCAGATCAGTCAGCAGCACAGAGCTGCTGAGCAGTGGATGTGGGCTGTGACCACTCTCCTTTGCCAGTTGATGAACAGAGGCTGTGGGCCTTCTCCTCCAGAGTGAGCCCCTATGGCTTGAGCTGGGTGAGGACCTGCAATAATTTCTATCATCCTCCTGTGCCCAGGGGATGCCTGCTTCCCGCACTGCAGCTGCTGTGCAGGTCCATGCAGCTGCTGCTCTGCCCACCCCAGGACCAGCCATGCCCCACAGCAGCACTTCAAATCCCTCTGGACATACATCCAAGTGTCCCGGTACTCACAGACATTCTCTTCCCAAAGAGAACACTGCTCGGCATTCCCAGCTCTCCCTGTTCCCACACTCACCATTGCCCAGCTCCCAGGAGATGTTGTATTTCTTGCTGGCACTGTACTTCAGCAGGCTGAGTGCATTGGAGCTGTTCCAAGAGTTATTGGGATTTCGGCGCAGAGCATTCAGTGCAAAGATCAGGTGAAGGCCAGAGCAGTCAGCAAAGTTATAGAGTTTGTCTAGAGACCTGGCTGGGAAGAAACAAAACACAGCTTGTAATTCAAATGAAAGCCAGTTCCAGGGAGGTTCAAATGATCCTGCTGTCCATCAGACCTCAGCTCCTGGGTGGATGAACTGGGGTCAGGTGCCACCCCTGTGACATCTGTAACTGCAGAAGCGCACCTGACCTTTGAAACTGGGATAGGATTCCAGGCATGGGCTAAACTCCTTCCAGCATGGAACTTGGACGCTCTCCACTGCTGTGTCGAAGCTAAGGGCAGCGTTACCAGAGACGAGAGGCTTTATAATGTCTCTTTTCATCTGCTCCTGGCAAGGAAATATCAGCTTCTCCTGAGCTCATCCCACCTGGCACTGCTTCTGGGGCAGCGCTGGGGAGGAGAGGAGCTGTAGAAGGAACCACAGGGCCAGGGTCACCTCCTGCACACTGTGACAGCACCATGGGTATTCCTCTTGGGCCCTGGGGTCATCGTTGGCTCCGGTCCCACCCTTGTCCCCAGGCTTCCCAGAGAGCTGAGAGCTGTGGAGCCCCAGGGATGGGGAGGCTGAGGGCAGGCTGGGGACTATGGAGCAGTGAGTCCTGGAGACATCTTAGGCAAGCAACCATGCTGCTTGGCAGCACTCACACAGCGTAAGGAGGTGATCAAAAGCCACAGCAATGTGTCAAGAACAAACCATGCTGAAGTCTTCACCTGACAGAACAATAGCACCACTGCAGGTCTTATACCTTGATGATTTTTAAGGCTTTTGACATGACTGCACATCAAGTTCTCTCTGGCAAGCAAGGTGACCGTGCTGCAAGAGGAGATGCGTACATTGAGAACCGCTATCGGTAATGTTCAATGGAAGAAACCGAAGGGTGCAGGCAGCCTGCCCTGAATCTTCTTACACTTTGCCAGTAAAGAAGAGCACCTCAGAGCTGCTCGGGCATTAAGATGCTGCTGTGCACCTCCATGGCCAGCAGAGCTGAAGAGGATAGCAAGGAGACATGGCATGTGGCAGTGTTGTGCCACTGCTGTGCCACACTACATGCACGTGGCACGAGAAAGCACTGTGACCTGTCCTGGTCCCTGAGAGCCACAGCAAATGTGGAGCTGCCCCTGAGGTCTGAGGAGAATAAACTTATTTTTAAAGCACTGCATTAGGAGGCTCACAGAACTCAGCTGAGTTGTTGCTTATTAGATTGCAGCAAAGGCATGGGAAGACAAAAGGAAAAATGTAGAAAAGAAATTGCTAACCCTCGTGTAGGCTTTTTTTCTTTTTTTCTTTTTTTTTTGTAATGCTTCTAGTTGTTTAAGTGAAAAGTAGCTGAGTTAGATTAACCTAATGCATTCATCCCACTGGCTCAGGCACATTAGCTGGTTTTCTGGATGCTTAGTGGATTAGAGACAGATACAGTTACTTAATACCCATTTACTTCAGACCTCCGGGCAAAAAGCTGCGCTTGAAATGACATTTCTATGAAGGGAATAACATAGACAACCGCATGACAACAGGAAGACAGCCGAAAGGTGTCACCTGCAGCTCCCCTGATAGAAATGAAATCTTTTCACCAGTGCAAAACAGCCATAGTTCTTAAATGCTACAGGAGGGATTTTGTTTCTATTTAGAAGTCTCCTTAGAGGGCTGGGAATTGATTTTCCATGCATCGACCGGAGGAAACAAGCCGCCTGTTCACCCCAGCTCAGGCCCTGCCACTGTGAAATTCTATTTTCCCCACGACACTTACTCTGTTTCTGTGAGCCTGCATACAGAGGTACCTCATGCATTTCATGCTCTGCCACGACTTTCCAAGCTGGAAACCACCATGGGATGGTAGGGAAGGGAACTAGCAACCCTAACAGGAGACCCTAACAGACTCGATGCTCAGCTGGCACCAGCTGCCCACCCACTGTGCTCATCTGACGCCTCTATCGTAATCAGCATTGAGGTGGGAAGAGCTCAGCCACAGGTCACTAAACCACAGTGCAAAGCATATTGTGAAGACCCTGAGCAATGTCCAGCCCTTCATAAGTACAAACGGCCCAAAGAAATTGCTATAAATATTTTACTGCCATGACTAGGGATGGCCACATTACTTCTGAATAATGAGAACATGAAGAATCGCAGTATTATTAACAGCTGGCTAAAACTCACTTTGAATTCTGGATAATTGCACCATTTTTTCTTCATCGAACACAGAAAATCTTCCAGGAATTTAACCTTTCCCCAGCTAACAGATCATTAGGCAAGGCTTTCGCAAAGCTTTTCAATAGACAAAGCCATTGTCGTACCAGAATGAATCTTAATAGAGCAGAACTGGATTTATACGATGCTCTCGCTGCCCCTTTTCCCCCTCCACCCACTGCAGGCACACATACTCAGAGAGGGAATAAAGCAAATAAAAGAAACCCATCTACGTTAGCATTAAAAAAAAAAAAAAAGCAATAAAGCACCAACTTTAGGGCATATAGGTGCACAAACCAAGGCAGAGAACCCAGTTAGCTGTCAGTGGAGCCTTCCTCTGAAAGCTCACACTGGCCCTAACACTAGCAGAATTTAAAGGCTGTTTGGATCTTGTTGATTCTTTACATCCTTGCTTTTGAAGGCCTGGACACATCTAAAGGGCTAAAACCATGCTACAAGGCATGGCCAGGTACAGTGGGTGACGATCTGCTCACATTCCAGCTGCTTGCACGGATCTCTCACCCTGCACAGAGGGAGACAAATGACTTCAGAATGCAGAGATGTGTCTGTGTGGCCACAAATGGTGGTGGGGCTCATGGGGCAAGTATGTCCTGTGGGATTGTTTTCTTTTTATACTGGGCTGAATTTTAACATTCTCTGAAAGACGGATGGCACTTAACTCAGCAGCCTGCCAACACAAAATCTGAGGCACATTAAGACATCTCTGGCAGTTCAAAATAATTGCAAAGAGTTTCCAGTCGTCATTATTGAGTTAAACGTTATACTAGAGGCTTTTTAGAGAACACAGCCTGGACTGCCATTTGGTTAGAGGGACAGCTCAACAATCTCTGGGTTTGAAAGCCTTCCACGTTTTTTATTCAGCTTCAGGAATCCTGCTTTGGCAGGGCGAGCCTGGAAACCCGCGTGCATGCTGAGCGGGAGCTGGAGCCTGGGTGGTGGGGCACAGCACGGCATGTGGGGGCAAATGCACAGCAGATGAAGCCTTCTGTTTGTAAAGCAAATAAATGCAGTTCTAGGAATAATGTTTTCAGCTAATTGTGGGGATTGCTTGATTCAGCTTTGCCCGTAAATTCTGCCTGAAGCATCCCTGGAGCTCCTCATGCCAGGATTCCCTGCCCCTAGAGCATCCCACAGGAGATAGCAGAGGGAAGGGGTTGGGAAAGAGCTGGCAAAGAGCAAACAGAAGGCCAAAGACAGCTCTGCAGAGGGGGTGCAGAAAGAGCAGAACAGAGTGTTCAGGGAGGAGATGAGTAAGGCGGCTGGGGAGGGCGATGAATGGAAAAAGTAAGGTATTCCCACAGCCAAAGGAACAAGTGGGCACACGGAAAATTCACAAGCTGCCACCGCTGTCAGCTGAATCCCATTTGCACTGTCTCTTTCAGGCTGAACATCCTCAGAATACCATGTGTGTGGCAAGGACTTGATGTTTTCTTAGCGAATAAATATGAATCAGAAGATACACAACAGGCGATCGGAATAACACCAGACCCAAGGGACAGGCTGGCAAAACTAGCCTGCAGTCTTCCCACGGCTCCTGTCCTCAGGCAGGACAGTCAGAACCCTCATCCACAACGTGCAGAGAGCAGCCTTCATCACCACCAGTGGATCAGAGGCAAAGCAGCATCCCACTCTGCTCATATGCACTATAGCTGGATCCACATGACCACAGGAAGATGCTTCTATAAAATCACCAAGGTTGGAAAAGACCCCCAATTCCATTCTGGATGTTAAGCTGTTCCTTCAAAGCCGCTGCTAAAAGCGAATTGTAAGGCTTTTGAGGCTACCACGAAGCCTACACAGTTGCTGAAAATTGCATTCTAATGATGACCATTCCAGCTGGGAAGCTGTTTTGTTTTAATTCAGTCTTCTGAAGCATTCTGCAAGGCAGTAAAACCGCATTGTGTGAAGATGCTTAAGAATTTGCAGGCAAAATCACCGCCAGTTTGCTGGCTTCAGGCCGACAGGCACTTCACCTGAAGTGCTCCCTCTGCCTCATCAAGCTCCCGACTTCCATCAAAAGAATGGAGATGCACAGTCCCATCCCATTGCCCTGCTATGGCACGCTGGAGGTCTGCTCTGAGCAACAAGAAGTGCTTTGGCAGAGCCCCACAGTGCTGTAGGAAGGGGATCTGCTTTAATCCCATCTGAGGAATACCTGAAAGTTGGAGGAGCTGGCTTTAATACTGTCCGTCAGTGAAGAAATGCCGCGTGCTGTGTGTTAATGAGGAGCCGGATTTCGCCTCCAGCTGGATGACAGATGGGGGATCTGGGGAGATTCCCCCCGGAGTATCGAGGAGGCCTTGTTCCAAGGGAATTGTCATCATCCCCGGTCTTTATGCAGCTCAACACTGACCCTCGATATTCATTCAAGTCTTTAACTGGATATTTTATTTCATTGCCAATCCAGAGGTGATTATGCTGACCACGTGAGCTAGGTTCAGCCTGTAGCTCTGCCGTACAGAAATAGCAGTCTGGGGGCTTGGTGTCAATCTCTCGCCAATAAGGAGCTTGGCTGGCAGCCATGGATTGTGGGCTGAGTTCCCAGCTGGCATATAACTTGGAAGACAACCACGAGGTCTGGGTTCAATATCCAATTGCTAAGGAGTCTGGCTGACAGCCTCATTTTGTGGAATGAATCCCAAATTAATATAATGCTTTTGATACCAGACAAGGGGCATGGCCTGCTTCCAAATGCTGTAAGGGCTCAGATGAAAGCTGTAGGCATTGGGTTCAGCGTGTAAATGGTACCGAGGTCGGATAACAGTCAGGATTGGGATTAATCCTCAGATGGTGAGAAAAACAAGTGAACCCTGAGCTCTGCCTTTGA